ATGATTCTCCCATCATTCGAAATTTGTTTGTTTTTCAAACAATTGCCAACATAACTGATCACTGAAAAACCAAGGCTGCACAAATATCAGCCTTTGCTCCTACCCCAATAATGGTTGAAATTCGAACGATAATTAAAAATTTAAATTTTCAAAGAAAAATCGTTCAGAATTCGACCCATGTATGGCTGGCCTAAGAATAACAAAAGACACAAACAAAAGAGGCATTCTTTGTGTTTATTCTTTATTGTTTGTAACCAAATAAACTCTCATACCTGGATACTCTAAGTGGAGAAATTTTTTTTAATATGGGTCTATTGAGTCAGCAATATCTTTGACTTTATTTAAGATACATAAATTATACAGTATATAAATACATATACTGATGTTGCTGTACAAAACTTATTGTATATTCTATGCACCTTTTTTCTATTTTGACCAATGTTAATTTTAAGACTAGTGTTACTGTAGATAAAAGTAGAGGTCTTATTTTATTATAAGTTGTTTCAATTATAATGACACTAAAATTGCATTTCTGGTACAAGGAGCAATTAAGTTATTTACAAATAAAGGCAGTTTTTTTATGCGATCTTAAAAAACAAAAAATAGAAAACTAGAGGAATTAAAACAGAAAAAAAGATCATAGTTAAAAAAATAGAATTGATAAAAAATTATCTGAAGAAAAAACAGCTAAAGGGAAAAATGAGTTAAAGCAGTTTTATACCAAAAAGCAAACATTTATTATATTTCAGCTTACCAATTCTTAGATGTGATGGTTGCATTAGTTTTCTTTTCAGGCTTTCTTTATTTTCATCTGGTGATATGGCCAGTAAGTCTGTTGTTTTTAAGAAGAATAAGCTGTCCTTGAAAATGTGGCAGTATCAGTGTTGAGACAAACCATTTACCACTGACAAAGGTGCTTAACCGCTTCCATACAGTGCCTTTCCCCCCTTCCTGCCCAGGCCATTTTTCAGGTTTCAGCACTCTCACACTTTGAATGACAATTGCGCGGTCATACAACACTGTACCAAAACTAAAATTTTATCATTTTCTTCACACAACTAGAGCTTTCTTTTTGTGGTATTTAATCACCGCTGGGTCTTTTATTTTTTGCTAAATAAACAAAAAAATTTTGAAAAAAAAAAAACCAACACGTTTTTCTTTGTTTTTGTTATAAAAGTTTGCAAATAAATAATGGTTCTTCATAAATTTAGGCCGAGATGTATTCTGCTACATGTCTTTGGTAAAAATAACCCAAATTAGGATGTATTATTTAGTTTGTGGGAAAGTTATAGAGCTCACAAACTATGATATAGATCTGAATATTGATCAATCCTGAACAGCCAATCTAATTTCTTGAGGTCCAAGAATGTCAGAACAGTATAGATATCCCCCAAATGACCCCTTTTTGCAAAGTAGACAATCCAACGTATTTCATAAGAGGCATGGCAAGTTTTTTGAAGTTGTAATTTTTTTGTCATTTTTCAGAAATTTAAAAAATTTGAAAAAAATTATTTTCACTATTTTTTTTTTTTTTTTACATACTGTCACCAGTGCAGTACAGCATCATCATATAACTGGCATGGCGGTGATCAGGGACACTGACTGGTGACCATACGAAAAAAAAAAAATTGTTAATTTTTTAAAATTTCTTTACTAGTTTTAATTTTATTAAATTTTTTAAAGATTTTTTTTTATATTTCACTATGACCAGTAGTAGTACAATGTTACCATAGTATTTTTTTTTTTTTTTTTTTTACGCAATTTGCTTATAGCAAAGAATTACTTAGTTATAAGCAAGCATTTACCTGAATGACATCGAATCATTCAGGGTTTTCTTTTTTTTTTTGTGCTTAACTGTGATTTGGCCATGGGTAATCACATGACACAGCTGGGCTGAGATTGGCCCAGCTTGTGCATGTGATCGCTGTGACCATTCATATTCATGAAAGGAAGCCATCCATTGTATACAACTGTCATCTGACCTGCTGTGATTGGTCACAGTAGGTCACATGGTACTGGAAACGGGGCCGGAACACAGATCTGTCATTGGCCGTGTCTGAGGTACATGGCCGGTGACAGCGCCTCAGAGCGGCCCTGCGGGCAGGCGCACTGCACATGCCTGAAAGAACGCCATATGGCATCCACCCGAAGGGACGAGCTGCTCGCCCGGCCGCCATCTGGCTATAGGCCTAGTGCCATTAGTACAGTGTCAGTGCTTTCTTTTAGCACTGATCACTGTATTGGTGTCACTGGGGATGTCAGTGACACCAAGTCAGTTCCCCCAGTGTCAGAATGTCCGCCACAGTCCCACTATAATTCCTCAGGAGGGCAAGTGGTTAATGCAATTTCTTGCCTCTCTTTTGCCTAGTAAATAACATTCCATAAGTTAAGACAAAAGTGCTCAAGCCTGAAAAAGCTTAAAGAAATGCTTCAAAACGCTTGAAGAAGCTCAAGTGTGAACCTAGTTTAAAGCTTGTGAACACTGTTCTAAACAATATTTAAAATCTTCATTTTACAGTGCAGTTACTGCCATGATGCAGAGCAGGACCCGGCTGTTATTTTGTCAAGGGGGATTGCAGGCAATGATGCCAAGGGAGCGGTGACAATGAGGGAAGACTTTAAGGTCCTCAAGTGGTTAAATTTGTGTAATAATATAAAAAACATTATAGGGCACACTAGGGTTTTTTTTAAGCTCCTAGAAGCTATTATCAGCATATTTTGTACTGCTCCTAGACACTAAATAGTATTATCCTATGTGTCCATGCACACTACTTTAGGCTTTTGTATAGTTTTTGTAGAGTTTTTTTGAGTGTTTTTCCAGCAGAAAAAAACGCTAAACGCTCCTAAACACTGCTAAACGCTACTAAAATGCTCCAAACAGTTTTTTTCTAGCTTTATTTTTTCCTCTATATGTACTGTAAAAGTGCTAACAAAATGTTAACACTCCTAAATGTTCCTAAATTCCGGTGGAGGGGGTGGGGGGGTCAGTGCGTGCAAGGAGGGGGCAAGAGAGGAGCAGGGTGTACAGTGAAGGAGTGAGGGAGCAGTGTATACAGAGAGGCTTCCTCACTGGCTGTCACTATATGTCAGTGCTGGTTTTAAATGTAATTGCCGGCTTTTTTTTTTCATTTACTGTAGCTCAGAAAATGAGCTGTCATTTTCCCCAGAGCTAAAGGAAACTAAGGGGAGGGGTCACTGGGTGACCCCTTCTCTTTGTTTCCTTTAGCCCTCCGAGAATGACAGCTCCTTCTCTGAGCTACAGTAAAATGAAAAAAAAAGCCGGCAATTACATTTAAAAAACGGCATTGATTTAAATGCAATTGTTAGCTTTTTTTTTCCTTCTCTATAGCTCAGATAAGGAGCTGTCATTCTCGGAGGCTAAAGGAAACAAAGGGTGGGGTCACCCAGTGACATTACCCAGTGACCCCTCCCCTTAGTTTCCTTTAGCATCGGGGAAAGTGACAGCTCATTTTCTGAGCTATAGTGAAGAAGGAAAAAGCCGGTAATTACATTCAAAAACCAGCACTGACTTATAGGCAGCCAGTCACTATTATTATATTATTATTATACAGTATTTATAAAGCGCCAATAGTTCACTCAGCGCTGTACATTACAAAGGGGGACAGAACATGTGACAGAACAATACCAATACAATGCAAAACATGAGGGGATCGAGGGCCCTGCTCTTTCGAGCTTACAATCTAGGAGGGATGGGATAGTGGTACAGGAGGAGATAGCTGTGGGGGATGGAGTGGTAGGAAGAGTGGAGGAGGTCAGCAAGTTAGCAGGGGGTGAGGTAGGCTTCCCTGAAGAGATGGGTTTTCAGGGTGCGCCTAAAGGAGAGGAGAGTAGGTGATAATCTGATGGGTTGGGGCAGGGAGTTCCAGAGGATGGGTGACACCCTGGAGAAGTCCTGGAGGCGGGCATGGGAGGAGGAGACCAGGGAACTAGAGAGAAGGAGGTCTTGTGAGGAGCGGAGTGTGCGTGTTGGGCGGTACTTGGATATTAGGTCAGTGATGAAGTTCGGGGCAGTGTGGTGGACGGCATTGTACGTCAGTGTTAGGATTTTAAATTTGATCCGTTGCGCAATCGGAAGCCAGTGGAGGGATTGGCAGAGGGGGGTGGCGGAAATGGAGCGGTTGGAAAGGTGAATGAGTCTGGCAGCCGTATTCAGGATGGACTGAAGCGGGGATAGCCAGCGGCGAGGCAGGCCAGTGAGGAGGGAGTTGCAGTAGTTGAGTCGTGATATGATGAGGGAGTGGATGAGCTGTTTAGTGGTTTCTGGGGTTAGGAACGTGCGGATTTTGGCGATGTTGCGGAGGTGGAGTCTGCACGAGTTTGTTAAAGATTGGACTTGGGGCTGGAAGGATAGGTTGGAGTCCAGAATGACACCCAGTACTCTGGCCTGCAGAGCGGGTTTGATATTGGCGTTGTTGGATGTGATGTAGAAGTCAATGGGGGGTGGGGTTCGGGCTGGGGGGAAGAAAAGGAGCTCGGTTTTGGAGAGATTCAGTTTAAGGAAGTGGAGCGACATCCAATCTGATATGTCGCTCAGTAGGTGTGTGATTTGGGCAGAGACCGAGGGGGTGAGGTGGGGGGTTGAGAGATAGATTTTGTGTGTCGTCGGCATAGAGGTGGTAGTTGAAGCCGTGAGAGTATATACACTGCTCCTCTCCTGCCATTCTCCGTCGCCCCCTCACATCTGCAGTACACACAGTCCTCTGTATCGGTTACATTTTTCCTATCAGCAAAATGCCGTTAGGGCTATTTTCAACCAATATGTTTCTGTGGCTGAAATTTCGGTGCATCCCTAATTTTCATACATATACATGGTACGGCAGGCACATGTTAGGAATATGAAATGTTAGGTTTACATGTTCTTTAAATATTTTTCTTTTTTCCTACATGATATGGTTCATATATGCTCAAAACTGTAAGAAATTGCCCTGTATCAGCAACATGCTAGACAGCTGGACCACTTCTGTCACATAGTGCTCCAACCCAGGGGCGGACTGAGCATTCGAGCACTGCCCGGGGTCAGTAGGGGGCCCCATGAAATGCCCCTGGTACCTTTTTATAGGCTTTTTTTGGGTGTGCTTTGAGTGTGGGCAAGGACACAGGGGCCCCATGATCCCCTATTGCCCGGGGGCCCCATAAGTTACCAGTCCGCCCCTGCTCCAACCAATAACGCTGCTCAGGGAGTGTGTGTGTTATGGCATACTGTGCAGGGATGTGTCAGACCTCTGAAGACCTAGGCCACCACACTCTTGGTTCTCAGGCATGCTGCCAGCACAGGAGAGCCTCTTAAAGTTTAACAAGAAACTAGGTGTCAAAAATGAAATATAAAGGGTTAGTTCAGATTTATTGACCGTTGCCAAAACATCCCCAATCATTACAGTGTTCTCAGTACAATCACATGTAGTGTTCTTTTTAGCTGCTCATTTCATTGCCACTCCCTACTTTTCCAGCAGATGGCTTATGCCTCCATATTGTCCTGTCCAGCTTTGTCTTCTTGTAGGTGTAGATTCCCGTGCTCCGCACTGCTCCTGAAAACATTTTACGGTAAAGCTGCGTAATTCAGTAGTAGAGAAATGCAGATGCCTGTTGGTGACTGGTTCTTGAAACACTATCATCTTATCCATGTAGCACAAGGTGACAGTGGGGGAGGTTTACTACAATTGGAGCACTCAGAATCTGGTGCAGCTGTACATGGTAGCCAATCAGCTTCTATCAGCTTGTTCAGTTAAGCTTTGACAATAAAACCTGGAATCTGATTGGTATCTATGCAGAGCTGCACCAGAGTTTGCTTGTTCCAGTGTTAGTAAATCTCCCCCAGTGTGTTTGTGAAGCATCTCACCAAAATCAGTTATCCTCATCTTACCAGCACTTGCTCGCTGCTCCTGTTGTCATTACAGCTGGCAGAAATACCCAGTGTTTCCAATTACAGAGGACCTATGACTTCCTCTCACCTGACAATGCTTGGGTCTAGAAGCTGATCTCTAGGCCCGTACACTGACACATGACCGGGAAAGTGACATCATTACTCATAGTGTCCAACATCAGCTGGGAGAGACTGCTGCTAAGATAAGTATAGACCTCCATGCAAGTAGACAGCTTTTGTATTTGGTTGTGTGAAGAACCCAGTACCCCTGGCACTATTCACCATGATAATGCCTCTCACCAGCAACCCTACCACTGCACCCCTGACTCTGAAACTGCACATTTCTGATAGCTAGCAACCCTGCTACTGCATACACCAACATCTGTCCATGCTCCCCTTGTCACCTTTGCAGAGACTGAGTTGAAAAGGAGGAGAGGTTGAGCCTGTAGTTTTTGAGCTCTCTTCCCACTTCCTTCTCTTTCTGGTGACATCACCTCCTCCCCTGCCAGTCAGTCCTCCAGCCTCTGGGGGCTCTCTGCTCATTGTGTGTTCCTGATGGAAGGGGAAGGAAGTGCACATTTCTGGGCTGAGAGGAAAATGGAAGCCAAACACTGAAACGTCTAATACATACATAGCTATGGAACCCTTCCAATGTAGCAACTATTTTCTAGAAGTCCAACATTCAAGAGTACTCTTTCTCCAATCACCTTTCAAGACCGCACACAAAAAATAATAGCCTACCTATATCACATCTTCTATAATCAATAAAAAGAGCATAGTCACCTAGCCATCTTAGTTATCTGTGTTTTTGCCAGCCTAACAGGAACATCTAGATCGTTATTTTCCCTCAGACCTCTGTGCAGAGGCCATACAGTATATGTTCTATGGTTTAACCACTTGCCGTCCGCCTGCTGTTTATAAATGGCAGGACGGTGGCACTCCAGGGGCGGGTTGCCGTTCATAAACGGCACCCGCCATTTCTATCTGTGCGCGCTCCCTGGGAGCGCGCAGCACCGCGATCTTGTGCCCGCTGTGTCCTCCGGTGTACGAGGTCCCGATCATGTGATCACTGATTGGCCAATCAAGGATCACATGCAAAGTAGTAAGCAAGATGTCACTTGTGACATCATTGCTTACTACGTGTGAAATCTGTGAATGATCACAGAGGTCACGTGGTACAAGGCTATTCACAACGGCCTTGTACCATGTGACAAGCTGTGACCAATCACAGCTCACTCAGTAGTTCTCAATGGCTGCAAGAATGCAGAGAGAGAAAGAGAAATGATTGCTTTTACATCCTATATAGGTGTAAAAGCAATCACTGTAAAAAAAAAAAAAAATCTTCATCACCCCCCACAAGTAGTACAGTGTCACCATGGTGACACTGTACTGCTAGGGTGACAGTATGTAAAAAAAAAAAAAAAAAAAACCATAAATAATAATATCAAAAAAGTTTAAAAATTTAAATTTTTGGTTATAAACTAATTTGGCTTATTTTTTTTTTACTAAAAAGATAACGGAATACATTTCAGCCAAGATTTATGATGAAAGATTATTTATTTGCAAAATTTTATAAGAAAAACACTTTTTTCAAAATTTTGGGATTTTTCATTTACATAGCAACAAAATAAAAATCCCAGCGGTGAATAAATACCACCAAAATAAAGCTTTATCTGTCTCAAAAAATGGTAAAAAATTCATATGGGTACAGTGTTGCATGACCGCGCAATTGTCATTCAAAGTGTGATAGCGCTGACAGCTGAAAATTGCCCTGGACAGGAAGGGGGTAAAAGTGTCCGGACTGGAAGTGGTTAATGGACAGTAGACCTGGATGGGCTGCATATCTAGGCTTTTCTTGGCTAGGATTAACTTTTGGTAATATCCTAATTGTTGGATTTTCCTTCCCCATCACCTTCTTTTTCCAAGGTTTCTTCTTTGCATGAGAAGAAGCAATTATCCCTGTGGGTACAGAGGCACTAGTTGAGCCCCTTCCCGCTTTCAAATTGGCCAGACTTCCAATCCACCCCTGTGCTGCCTCAGGAGGTGTGGGTTGATAGGGAAAGCCCTCAATGACCAGCTGAGCCACAAATGTATGCTGCCTATTGGTGTTGATGCTCCCTGGCTGCTGAAGTTCCTGGGTCCTTTTGGGGTAGGAGGAAAAACAAGCGGCTAATGCAGGTCCATGCTCCTTCACTCTGGGTGTTAGCAAGGTTGGAGCAAAGAAATCCATTGTCCCTGGCCTCTGCCAGGCAGAGGACACATTTCTGCTGAGCCGTGTGACTCGATTTCAGTACGTAGGTCAGAACAGCATGCAGGCTAGTACATTGTGGGCTTCCTGGAACAGACAGCAATACAGCGGGTATGTGTGTACAGGGTACACCCTGGCAATGGTATCCACAGATGTTAGAGAGGGAGCACATACAGGTGGGGGATAGAGCAGTGGGCAAACCTTGACATTCCCAGGATTGCTACACGATGCATTCTGATTTCGCTATGCCTGCTGCTTTAAATCAGTAGATGTGTGCACCAACTTCTCCAAGGTAGGTCAGAATTCTTTTGATATGGCTCACCTTCCACCTAAATCCATACTGTGGGGAAGGGATAGTGTTGGGTACTCCTGAGAGCATGTCTTCTCTTTGGGTGTTGGTTGCTTTGTTAGAGGTGAGGTGTGTTGGTTTACATATATGCGGATTGGATGTGGTTTGAACTGCATCCAATCCGCATAACATTGCTTCCTATGGTGACTGTTCACATATGTCTGGTGCACTGGAGACTCGGATTCAGTGCGGTTTGAAAAAGAGTCATATACGATTTCTGAGCAGTGCCTTCAGGTTCAGGTGCGGATTATAGGCTATTGTTTCTAAACCGCACATGTGTGAACAAGATAAATTCCTGAGCGAATCCCATTCTGAACCTGATGTAAACCTGACATGAACCGCTGAACAACTACTGTATCAATTAGCTGTGAAACCCGAGCTTCAGTCGGCACCGCACATGTTTGAATCAGCTCTAAAAAGCTTTGGAGTTGAATTCTGTGCTGTGTGTTTTAGTCTGCCTTTGGTGATTCGAAGGCAGAGCAGAGTACCAGCTGTTCAGAGGAAAGCAAGATAAGTGATTTATTTGCACTACACCATTCAATTTATCACCCCTTACTCTGAAATCATTGAACCTTTCTATATTATTGTTTAGAACAGCCTTTCTCAACCTTTTCAACACAGGGGAACCCTTAAAATGACTTTTTGGTCTCGGGGGACCCCTGCTAAAAATTACTTGATCTACAGCTCATGATACATTCGTGTGATGGTCAGTATGAAGAATGTTCCTTACACTTGTGGTCATGGAGAAGAATTACCCCCTTATAAGATAGCTAAAAATATCAGTGGTGTCAGCAGGAACCTATCTGAGAGGCGGATATTTCTCATTGCTCAAGAACCCCTAGCAACCTCTGGAGGAACCCTGCTTTAGAATATGCAATCTCTAGATCAGGCTGAAACTAAAACTTCATTTTACGTCCTATGTTCTTCTTTTACAATACGGAAGTTTCTTGTCTTGTAGATGCCTTTTTCCAGTAGATGTCACTATAGATACGCTTATTCTTTGACTAGGCTGGACCAAGGCATTTATTTTATGCTTTCCTTGTGACATTGAAACTAGTTGCTTTACAAACTGGGGTGATTTAGCTCAATGATTTATGCTGCTGCGATTCCCATGGTGCACTGAACATGTCCTTAATCTCTGTTTTCTCTAATAAGACACAATGCTGAAATCAAGTAGAAACAGTGATCGATAGGGGAGGTCAATTAAAATTGGTAAAGAAGAATCTTTTTTTTTTTTTTTTTTTTTTTACTTGGTGTGGGGGGGGGGGAAAAAGAGCATTGATTTGCTTACAGGTGAGAGTTTCTGTGAAAAGAAAAAAAAAATGTGCCTTACATTGTGTTCACTTGGAAACTTGCAGCTAGACCTGCACACTGTATATTACTTTATGAAATATAGATGTGAAAGTTATCCATAGAAAGATATTGATGTAGGGTAGTAGGTGGGGGCGGCAGATTTTTTGTGTTGCCTAGGGCTGCACAAAACATAAATATGCTATTGATTACATGAGCATAAAGCCTCCGATATACCCTGGAGGCAGACAGTGTACATCTAAGGTTGGCATTTCTACTGAATTCTGGCCCGCCATAAACTAGTCTTAACTTAGTTTTCAGTTTATATGTGGCCATACAGAGTATTGCCGCATCCAGAGGTGGCATTTCGCTACCTTTGAACGCAGCAAACTATGCACCCCTTGCCGCCCCTTGTGAACATATCTTAAGGCTGCTTT